CCCCAAAACCCCAAAACCCCAAAACCCCAAAACCCCAAAACCCCAAAACCCCTTGTTTGATAAAAATAATTTAAATTTTATAATAAAATTATCAAGAATAAAATGCATCAAAGTGGTCTCCCGAGCAACACTTATAAGTACTCTGCAGGAGTGCTGAATGATAATTGGTATGAACAGAGGATCGCACCAGAGCAGAAATTGCAAACCAAACCAGACGAAAAAACCATGAGGAATGTCGAACCTGATATTAATATGCTTGGTGCCAATGGTGTCCCAGCTCCTCTGAAGAGGATCAAGAGAAACTATCCTTGGGATACTAAGGATGTCATTCCGAATGATGGGTTTAAGGAAATGCAAACTATCAATAAAACAGAACTTGTTCATCCTGATAAGGTCAAGGTAAATGAAAAGAAGAAGCTGAGAATGATAAATAAGTATAATATAGCTGAACTTTCCCTTGTCGATAGGCCTATCTCAGGTCCTGAAAGAGGATTTGGAGCAACAGTCAAACGTTTTGACAAGGATCATCACAAACCTTACTTTAATACTACAAATATGGAATTTTATGGAGAACCGAAAAAGTTTAATGCAGCAGAGACAACAAATAATTTTACCAAGACTGAAGGAATAAATGCTGGAGAGAAGAATTATGAAACAAAGTGTGGAATCAAGAAGTTGACTGGCCTCACTGGAGAAGTATACAATACCTCTGCAGATCCTCAGGAACACACTGAAATTCAAAGAACTTGGATATATAAGAAGGATAATGCTATTGAAGCTACTAAAAATGGGTTTGCCGAGACTGATCAGACAAAGCCTTATGATAATGCAAACTCTCTATGTCTAGGTAAAGGAGAGCATTATTACCATAAAAAATCAACTGACGCTGGAGCTTATAGACATTTAAGGTCAGATATTACCAGAACAATAGATGCTCCTGCATTGTACAGAGTATAGATAAGAACGCTGTCTTGTTTTATTGGTATTTCAAAGCAATGGCTAAAAAATGGGGTTTTGGGGTTTTGGGGTTTTGGGGTTTTGGGGTTTTGGGG